CCCAAACCAGATGTTAACCCCTTTCAAAGATCTGGGTTTGCTGAGGCCCAATCAGCATTGTTTCCTTTCAACTTCTCAATTCCACTCTTCCCCAAACTCTAGAAGAACCCCACCTTTTCCTTTGGCAAGACTTACCCTGGTTTGTTTTGTGCTGTTTCCTCTCCTGTACTGAGTGACTGACTTTAACTTTGTTAAAGTACAGCTGTGTTCCTGGTGGGCTCCATCACATGGGCCTTAGCACAGAATTTAAGCCCTCTGTGTCCCTTGACTCAGTGATATGGCAAACATTTACACAGCCAGTACTCAAATTGGAAGTGTTGGGGACAGAGCAGGGACCCGACATCACATGTCTATGGTTCCAGCTGAGCACCTGTCAGTGTTATGTCAGACACTGGGGTAGAAGGGGATGACTCAGACTTGGTAGAGCACCCAGCTCGACTCTGGCAGGAGGATCACATGTTCAAGGCCAGCCTGGGAAACTTAGTGAAACCATGTCTCAGTTAGGTAAAGGTGCTTGCCAACAAGCCCGATGACCTGAGTTAGATTGACAGCACTTACATGGCAGAAAGAGAGAACCAAGTTCTAAGCACTATGGCACAGGAATGTGGGTATGTACATATTCACATATAGATAAATACACAGATATAACTTTAAAAAGAAAAGAAGGAAAGGAAAAGAATGAGACGAGACAGTGAGAGAGAGAACAGGGAAAGGCACAATAGTAGGCACTTGCATGCACGAAGCTCTACCTTCAGTCCCAATACTATTGGTAACACACGTGTGTGATGGAGACTGGACAGTGACAAGACAGACAGGGTCCCTAGTTTCACGGACCTTTCTGGAAGAAATGAATGAGGTGACAATGAAGAGGCATTCATTCTTCTCTCACTCTGTCTTTAAAGATTTTTTAATTAAAAAGATTTAATTACTTATTTATTTGTTTTGTTTTTGTTTTTGAGGCATGACTTCTCTGTGTAGCCACCCTGGCTATCCTGGAACTCGCTCTATAGACTAGACTGACCTTGAACTCACATAGATCTGCTTGTCTCTGCCTCCTGAGTGCTGGGATTAAAGCCATGTGCCACAATCATCTGGTCAAGATTTATTTATTTTTTATCCTAGGTATATGTTTTGTCTTCATGTCCATATTTATGTACACTACATAATCTTTACTATATCATTAGGTGGCATTCTATCATGGACACACTGTGACATGATATAATTATTAACCACACTTCATCAGATGGTTGGTGGCTATCATTGGGAAGTAAAGGGATGGTCACTCCTGGGAATGGTGAGGGCCGTGTAGCTGCTTTTTTTGCTTTGTTTTGTTTACTCTTTTTACTCTTTGTTCTTGGGGGTCTGCCATCCAGCTTCCAAATAATCACCCAGAGACTTATTCTTTCTTGTGGATGCCCGGCCTTAGCTTGGCTTGTTTCTAGCCAGCTTTTTGTAACTTAAGTTATCCCATCTACCTTTTTTTTTTTTTTTTTTTTGGTTTTTACGAGACAGGGATTCTCTGTATTGTTTTGGAGGCTATCGGTCCAGCCCGGCCTCAAACTCACAGCAATCCGCCTGCCTCTGCCTCCCGAGTGCTGGGATTAAAGGCGTGCGCCACCACCGCCCGGCTCCCATCTACCTTTTGCCTCGAGGCTTTTACCTTTCTTTATTCTATATTCCTTCCTTTCCTTCTTTCTTCATGGCTGGTTGTGTGGCTGGGTGGCTGGCCCCTGGCATCCTCCTCTCCTCCTATTCTTGCTCTTCCCCTTCTACTCTTCTTCCCTTCCTATTTATTCTTTCTGCCTGGCAGCCCTGCCTATGCTTTCTCTCTTCTGCCTTGCTAGTGGACATTCAGCTCTTTAATTAGACCAATCAGGTGTTTTAGACAGGCAAAGTAACGCAGCTTCACAGAGTTAAACAAATGCAACATAAAACATTGTAACTCATCTTTGCATCATTAAACAAATATTCCACAGCATAAATGAATGTAACACATCTTCAACTAATATTCCACAACAGGGCTTCATGGAAGATGCTACATTTGAGCTGAGACCTGGGTGAACAGGTCTCAGGAAAGAGCAGTACACTCAGGGACCGTCTAAAGAACTCTTCTGTAAGAGGAAGATTACCATACACAGGATGTCGTATGTTATTTTATTAGGGAGAAATCACTTACATGAGAAACAGATAACCCAAGGTCAGTGCTCTGACCATCTCCACTGCTCTTGGAGATCTGACCGGAACCCCAAGAGCAAGACCACACCCCACTAACGAGGGTGGTCAACGCTAAAAGTGCCTAGTAAGATCTCTTCCCTACACTCTTCAGGTTTGCAAAATCCCAAGGTCAGAGTGCCTGGATAGGATGGGTGAACAGGAGAGTGGGACTCAGGACACAGTGCAAATCTTACCTTAAGTGACATCATTTTACCCAGAGTCCCAGCATCTGTACTTTCACATAAAGATCTAAACCTACAAAATCAGGACTTCTGTTTAAAGCAAAGTGTGTCTCTCTCCACTCCCACAGTGTGCTGAAGCAGTCTGAGGAGACTATTGGAAGCCTAGGACCTAGAACACACTCGAAATTTGCAGACGGGGAAACTGGACTGAGTAGAGTGGAGTGGGGGGGGTGGGAGCATGATTGCAGAGGTGAGTGGGGAGGGGCCTGCTGTTGTTCTCCTGGGAAGAACAGGGACAGAGTGAGAAGAAGTCTTAGTCTTCCCCCCCCCACCTTTTTAAGAGTCACAGTTTCTTTATATAGTCCTGGCTGTCCTGGAACTAACTCGCTCTGTAGACCAGGCTGGCACAGAGAGCTGCCTGCCTCTGCCCCAAGTGCTGGGATTAAAGGTATATGACACTGCCCAACCTCTTTTCTTCTCTCTCTCTCTCTGTCTCTCTCTCTGTCTCTCTGTCTCTCTGTCTCTGTCTCTCTGTCTCTCTCTGTCTCTCTGTCTCTCTCTGTCTCTCTGTCTCTGTCTCTGTGTCTCTGTCTCTGTCTCTGTCTCTGTCTCTCTCTCTCTGTCTCTCTCTCTCTCTCTCTCTCTCTCTCTCTCTCTCTCTGGTCTTTCCAGACAGGGTTTCTCGGTGCAGTCCTGGAACTCACTCCATAGACCACACTGGCCTTAAACTCTAAGATTTTCCTGCCTCTGCCTCCCAAGTGTTGGGATTAAAGGCATGTACCACTACCCCTGGCTCTTTTAAGATAAGGTCTCATTATGTAGCCCAGGATAGCCTGGAACTCATGATCCTGTCTCAGCTTCCTGAGTGCTGGCACCCACCACAGACCCCTGGTTTGAGTCTTGGTTCTTGAACCACTAGATAGAGTACCCAACCATCCAGAGTATACAGATCAGTAATAGAAACATTGGCTCTGGGGCATTAATTTAGCAAACCAGTTTCCTAATGTCTCTTTGAAGGCTCTAGCTCACCCCACTGGGATTGGCCAGTTGGAAGACAGAAATGAGCCAATTGAATGCTATCTTGTGAAAGTCAGATCCTTTTCTCTTCTGTGGGATAAGGGCAAAGTGGGCAGGCTACTTTGGTTAGCATCTCTGCACTTCCTGTTACTGGCTTCTGAGCTCTTGGCTTATTTGCCTAATCTCAGACCAGATGAGTATGGTTTTAAAACTTCAGCATTTATGCATCAGGAGGTGGGGCTTAGGATAGTAGCAATTGAAGTGTTGGGGAGGAGATACCCAGGACTAGGATTTGGTCTCCTACAGAGTCATTCTCTGAGTGGACACTGCCAATCCCCAATGCACATACTGCTGTCTGGGTACACTGAGGAATGGATCTCCTAGTTAGCTTTAACTGTCAGCTGAACACAGCCCAGAGTTACCTGAGAGTCTCAGTTGGGAGTGTGCCAAGAACAGACTGGCCTGTGGGTGTATCCTTAAGGTATTTTCTTAATTGCTGATTAATATAGCATGTACTAGCCCACTGTAGCAATGGTAGGAAGGTGAATGTGGGCTGTGTAAGAAAGCTAGCTGAGGGGATGCACGTCTGCTCAGCATTTAAGAGCAGTAGCTGCTCCTCCAGACGATCTAGCCTAGGTTGTCAGCACCCACATGGCATCTCACGATTCCATGGGTTCCACTGCTTGTCTTCTGGGCTCCGCGGGCATCAGGCACACAAGCAGTCAAAACAACCATACACGTAACATTTTAGAAAAACAAAACAAAGACAAAACTAAGCAAGCAAGAAAGCAAACTGTTTGGTGGAAGCTTCACCCCAGCCCTGGCATCCATATACCCAAAGAGTCTGTAATGTTCTGGTGGAAGTTCTACCACAAGTCCCTTCCCCTATCTCTCTCCAAACCCTGCGGCATCTCAGAAAGCCTGCCAAGTGATGACTCCTCTCACAGAGAACTCAAGACCGGTCCCACAGGGTATTTAAACTGTCTTCCAGAAAACAGACGGGTAACAGTCTCTTTTTCCTGTCTCTTCTTGGGGAGGGTGCTGGAAAACCATTCAGGGGCTTTTTCTAATTTAGTTTGATTTGGTCTGATTTGGATTGCTCTATTTGGTGGCACACATCTTTAATCTCAGCACTCCGGAGACATAGGCAGGCAGATCTCTGAGTTCGAGGCCAGCCTGTTCTATAGAGTGAGTTCCAAGACAGGCTCCAAAGCAATACAGAGAAACTCTGTCTCGAAAAAGCAAACATACACATATATATTCATGGAGTTGCACAAAGAAAACACCCAAACAAAGCAGAAGTTAACTGGGCAAAACATTTTTTTTTTGTAAAAAGTCTCCACCAAGCCGGGTGATGGTGGTGCTGCAAGCCTTTAATCCCAGCACTTGGGAGGCAGAGGTAGGCAGATCTCTTGAGTTTAAGATCATCCTGGTCTATAGAGTTCCAGGGCAGGCTCCAAAGCTACACAGAGAAACCCTTTCTTGAGAAACCAAAAGAAGAGGAGGGAGGGAGGAGGAGTGGAGGAAGGAGGAGGAAGAGGAAGAGGAGAAGGAGGAGGGGGGAGAGGAGGAAGAGGAGGAGAAGGAGGAGGAGGGGGAAAAAGTTTCCATCAGGAAGAAAACCATAGTAAGCAAACCGAGACAAGAAGTTCACTTAGCTTTTATTCTAAGGTAAGCGGTGACTGTGTTTCTGCCTATTGGTGCGAGCTGAACTCACAATCTCATCTGATTGGCTAATTCATAATTGACGTGAAGGAAAGGGCAGAGTGGTCGACAGCTCTGGGTCATCGAATTCTGGGAATGCAGCAGAGCTTTTGCACAAACAAAAGTTTTACTAGGTGGGGGAGACAAAAAGAGATGAATTCCTTTGCATGAAAATTTTACAACGTGTGAGTGCTTTAGTGGGCTAGCCATCTTTGGTTTATAAAAACAAAAGAAAAAAAAAACAAAAACTATTCTTAACCAAGCAGTGTTCCTCCTTTGGTTTCAGCTCCACGCTCCTGCCCTGACTTCCTTGGATGGTGGGTCTGTAACATGTAAACGGAAACAAATCTTTCCTCTACAAGTTGCTTCGGATTAGTGTTTAGCACATCAACAGCCAGCAAAGTAAGACACATATTTTGTCCAATAGAATGCGCCCAGAGTCATCTGGAGTGACCCACCCAGGGTGGAACAGAACACTGTCCCTGTCCGTCTTTATTGAGTGGCATAGACGCCTCAGGATGTGGCCTCGGGGAGTATCTGAATTCTTGCTCATCTCTTCCCATTATGTCACTGGGCCAGTTGAGGAAGAGGTAGATGGTGCCATTCTCCCGAGCGAGAGAAGTCACTTTGGCTAGGACGTAGTTCGGTGCAGGAGCATGGAGGAGCAGAAAGGAGTTAAAAACATAGAGTCGCGCGTCACTACCGAAGCCTAGAGCGACGCTACCCCCCAAATCTAGTTCCGCAGCCGATTTCCGCCTCCGGAGACAAACAGGAAGTTCCGTGATAGAGTCCCGGCATCCCTTTTCCGGACTCAGTTTTGTGCTGTGGGTGTGCTTTAGGCTTGGTTCACTTGGACTGCGATGTGACCACTGCGGAGGAAGATGCTCCGCTCCCTTCTTCCGGACTCCGTCCACCGCACTCCTGTCCCGGGCGTATGCGGATGCTCTGTTTTGGATCTGTGGCTCTGCGCCTGGCGCCGCCTTGACCTCCCCGGAGCCGGAAGTCCACTTCCGCTCTGCCTGGGCGGCTCCCGACGTGCGGAATTGAACCCTCGCACCACCTCATATCTTTGAACTCTTGAGCAGGTCCCTCTCTTCCAGCCTGATGTGTGTCAATGAATGTCTGAGGGCGGCCAGAGGACCACTGAAAGCTGGGGTGTGGTGGCGCACTCCTATCAGCCCCGCACTCGAGGGGCAGAGGCAGGAGAATTGCTACAGTTACAGGCAAGCCTGAACTACATAGCGAGTTCCAAGCCAACCAAGACTTAGCAAGAGTCTGTTTAAAAACAAAACAAAATTATAACTCTGGTTAGCGAGAGGACTGGCTGCTGGGCTCCTAAAATCGAACTACTGCTAATACGGACTTCGGGGCTTGCAGTTGTATTAAGAGCTTAGGTTGAGGACAATGACAAGGAGGGTGAACGAAACGCGCTCAAAGCAGTGGAACAGGAAAAAAAAAAAGCGTGCTGCCTCTCATAAATAACCTTGAGAACTAGCCTCCTGATAATTTGGAGATTATTTCTAAACGTCAGTGTTGTGAAGGTATTAGGTAATTAGAATTAGTGAAAGGGTGCTTTCCTAAGTGGGTTTGGGATCTTCACTCAGAAAGGTTTTGGCAGGAGGGGAAAACCTGAAAAGTACCTCTCTCTTGACTTCTTGTAAAAGCGAAAAAATTTAAATAATAATAATAATAAACCACACAGATGTACAGTGGAAATACTTCCCCTCCTTGATCCTGTGTTCAGAATCACAGCTAATTTAATAACTTCCAGGTATGGTTTGTGGATGTGTTATACATACGCTAGTGTGTATTTTTAAGTTCCTTGGATGGTTTCTGTATAAACTGATGACATGAACACTCTGGTATGATTAAGGGGAAGGTTTTTCTTGTAGATATTAGAGACTAGCCAGAGGCCTCTGGAAGAGTCCAGAGCAGAGAGAGAGAGAAAAGCAGACTGAACATAGCCCACCGGCTGGACATAATCTGGGCTATGTGTGAGAGAGGGGAGAACAGCAGGGAATGGAAAATAGAGAAAACAAGCAGTAGCAGAGGGAAGGGGAGGGGAGGGGGAGGGGAGAGAGAAGAGCGAATGTGGAGAACAGCAGGGTTATAAGGGTAGGAGTTACTGGGGGTGGGAAGCCCATGAGCCTGAGGGAGTTTAGGACAAGGGAGCAGGTGAGAGAGCCAGGGTGACTCTTTGTAAGTGGGAACCAGATTCACAGATTCCCCAGGAATGCTGGCTTTTATCTAACCACCAGCAATTCCCCTATAGTCCAGACTGAGTGCATTTTGGATATTTGAACTGCCTTTGGGGTTTGGGGAATTGGAATTTCCCATGGACCTGGCAGTTTCACACAACTGTTGATCTGTACCTTGTTCATGCTTGATATGTTATGGGTGACTTGGCACTCTGGGCTTTACTCCATTTATTGCAAGGCTGCACAGTATTCTGCTGAATAGTTGACAATACCTTAATAATTTACCAGTTGATGGCCACTTAGATTGTACCCAAGAGTTTTTTTCCCTACAAATTTCATTCAGTCTTTCCCTGACTAAATAGTTCCTTTTTTATCTAAAGCCCATGCGGTTCTGTTTTATCTTGCGACTATATAAAAATATCTGACCTTAGACACTTTATAAAGACAGAGGTTCATTTACTGCACAGATTTGGAGGTTTAAGGTTGGTACTGCTATAGTCTGAGCTCTGGGTGACCTTACAATGAGGAGAGAGCTTGTGCGCTGTGGGGTGATCATATAAGGAGACAGGAAAAGAGACCAGAGAGGCATTTGCAATTTTATGACCTCATTCTGCAGAACTAGCTCAGGCAGGGGTTTGGCTCAGTTGGTAAGGTGGTTACCCATCACTGAGGAGGAGGTTTGGAACCCCAGCACTTCATAAAGTGGATGTGGCCCACGGTTGTAAGCCAAACACTTTCCAAAAGGGCAGAGAGTAGGAAATTCTAAATCTTCTACAAAGAGTCTGAGGCTAAGATCCCATCTCAAAACAGTTAAAACAATTAGCTGTTTTCAGGAAAGTAGTATTAACCCTTCCTAAAGGCAACTGCTCACAATGACCTAGCCAGGCCCTACCCATTATGCCTCCCCCTCCTTTTTTTTTTTTTTTTTAAGACATGTAGCCCAGGCTGTCCTGAACTTGTGAAGTGGAGACTGATCTGGAACTTTGATCCTCCTGCCTTGTATCTCCTGAGTACTGTGATTACAGGATATGGTACTCCATCTAGGTCCTACCTCTTAAAGGTCCCCTCATCTTTTTTTGTTTTTGTCTTGTTTTGGTTTTGGTTTTTAGAGATAGAATTTCTCTGTACTGTTTTGGTGCCTGTCCTGGAACTTGTTCGGTAGACCAGGCTGGTCTTGAACTCACAGAGATCCGCCTGCCTCTGCCTCCCGAGGATTAATCCCCTCACCTTCTAATGTCACTGGGAGCCAGGTTTCCAACTCATGAACCCTCAGTGTACAAATCACCTTCTTAAAAAGATGTATATTATTTTTATTTATGTGTGTATGTTCACACACATCAGTGCAGATGGCCTTGGAGGCCAGAGGCATCAGATACCCCTGGAGCTAGAGGAATATCTCTTTAGCTTTGTAGGCCACTTCTGAACTGGCAGTGTCCATAGGCTGGTGAGACAGCTCAGTGGGTGAGGGCACTTGCTGCCAGGCCTGATGAACTGAGTTCAGTCCCTGGATCTTAACGTGGTAGAAGGAGAGAGAACGGTTCCAAGTGTAGTTCTCTGACTTCCGCAAGTGCTCTCCTATAGCAAATAATAAGTGTGATCTAAAAGAGTTACCAGCACCGCCAGGTTACAGGGCATTCTGCCTTTCCTCTAGATTACTCACAACTCAGGAAGGAATGAGCCCACTCTGCTGAGTGAAAAAAAGCCCAAATAATAACTGGCCTGGGTTCCAAGAATATCTGAGCTACAGGGACTAGAATCACTTCAAGCTCTAGAAGATGGGTCAGGGAAACTTGAGCAGCTTAGTAACTAGGTGCAAGGAATTGGTCCATTCAGCTTTTAAGAGCCTGTACTGCTCCTGGAGGAGGACCTGAGTTCAGATCCCAGTATTCATGTCAGGCAACCAGGTGTAACTCCAGCTCCAGGGGATCTGGTGTCTCTGGCCTCTGATAGCCAGCCACTGTGTGCTCATGTACACACACACACACACACACACACACACACACACGCACACACTTAAGACAAAACAAAGCCTGGCCATGGTGGCACATGACCTTTAATCCCAGTATTTGGGAGTCAGAAGTAGGTGAATCTCTGTGAGTTCCAGGTGAGTTTGAGGATGGCCAGGGCTGTTACATAGAAAAATCCTGTCTTAACCCCTAGCCCCAAATAGTTAATGCAGTACAGGTGTTGAGTATTAGTGATTGTGATGGTTAATGTTAAATGTCAGCTTGACTGAATCTCGGTCACCTTGGAGATAGGTCTCTGGGCATGCCTGTGGGGATTATTTTCATGACCTTAATAGAAGTAGGCAGGCCCACCCTCTGTGGGCAACATCATTCTCTGTCTGGGATTCTGGGCAGCGTGCATTCATTGCTCTGTTTCTGATTTAGGATGTAACCAGCTGCTTCAAACTCCTGTAGCCTTGACTCACACACAGTGATGGATGTACTCTTGAACCATGAGCCAGAACGTGGTTCTCCTTTAAGTTGCTTTTGTCGGAGTTTTGTTGTTGTTATTGTTTTCGAGACAGTGTTTCTCTGTGTAACAACAGCTCTGGCTGCCCTGGAACAAGATCTATAGACCAGTCTGGCCTCTAACTCTCAGAAATCTGCCTGCCTCTGCCTCCCAGGTGCTGGGATTAAAGGTGTGCACTACCAAATGACCAGAATATTTTTAATAGTATATGTATGAGTGTTTTGCCCACATGCATATGTATGTACCATGTGCATGTCTAGTACACAATGAAAAGGGTGTTGGGTTCCCTGGAACTGGAGTTCCACAGTGGTTGTGAGTCACTGTGTGGGTACTGGGAATTGAACCTGGGTCTTCTGCAAGAGCAAGTGCTTTTAACCACTGTCCATCCACTATCAGAATATTTCATCACATGGAGCCAGAGAGAGAGCTCTGACAGCTCTTCCAAGTTAAATTCCTAGAACCTACATGGTTGCTAACCATCTCTAACTCCAGTTCCAAGGCTATACTTTTTAAAACTGTGTGTGTGTGTGTGTGTGTGTGTGTGTGTGTGTGTATGCACTCGTGCACACACGCCACAGTCCATGTGTGGAGATCAGATGATAGCTTGTGATAATTAGTTCTCTCCTTCTACCGTGTGGGTCCAAGAAATCGAACTCAGGTTGTCAGGTTTGGTGGCAAGCCCCTTTACCTCTGAACATGACAGCCTCTATGACATTTGTTGATTGATTGATTGATTTTAAACTCTTGCCGTTCCCATCACAAAAGAGCTTCAGAGTGATTAAAACAATAAAGAACAGCCGAGTAGATATAAGTGGACAGAATGCTTTCTCATTTATCTCCTTTTCATCATGTCAGAATTGGCCAACAATGTTCCCTAAAAATGACTGGAGGAAGGAGATGGGAGCAAGGCTGGATTAATTGAGTGCCTGCCTAGTGCAAGAAGCCCTGGGTTCCAGTGGAGCAGGATCGGAAGGTCAAGATCACCATGGAGAGTTGACTCAGTTAAGAGGGTTCCCAGCACCCATATCCAGCTGCTTACAACTGCCTGAAACCCTAGTTCCAGAGGATACAATGCCCTCTTCTGACATCTCTGTACCTGTACACACACACACACACACACACACACACACACACACACACACACACAAATATTTTTTAAATAATTTTTTGAGACAGGGTTTCTCTGTGTAGCCGTAGCTGTTCTGGAACTTGCTCTGTAGACCAGGCTGGCCTCAAACTCACAGAGATCCACCTGCCTCTGCCTCCCAAGTGCTAGGATTAAAGGTGAGTACCATCACTCCTTGTTTTAATATTAATATTTCTGTCCATGTGCATTTTTTTCTTAACCTACTGTTACCATAGTGGAAGGGAGAAACATACAAATTTTCTAGCAAGGTAGGGATTCCTAAGCAAGGCATGGTGACAAAACTTGAAATCCTGGGGGTAGGTGGTGGCACAGGCCTTTAATCCCAGCACTCATCTACAGAGCAAGTTCCAGAACAGCTGGGGCTACACAGAGAAATCCTGTTGTGAAAAACAAAACAACAACAACGAAACCCAGCTTAAAATCCTGGCATTGAAAGCTAGAGCAGGAGGTTGTAGTTCAAGGCCAGCCTGGGCTTTTCAAGACCCTGGCTACAAACAAAAAAGGTTAGCATTCTTCATTCTTTCCAGCTATCATTTGGGTAAGCCGTTATTAACACATTTTCTCAACTGTGGCTATTGATCCAGCAAGCAACAAAACAGAAATAGACTTTGTAGTAGGTTTATGAATAAACCTCATTAGATTTGGGGTGCAAATCCAAGAGATCAGGGTGGCTTAGCAGCCTTTGTAGTCTGCTCTTGTTGACCTCAACTTTACTCTGCTTAGGAATCTGAAATGTACGTCCCACCCCCACCCCTGCCCCAGTTCGAGGATGGAAACTGAAGTAATAAGAGCAGTACAGATGATCAAATAAGGCCATGGCTAAGTGACAAGGTGACTGAAGAGCCAGGAGTCATCCTAATACTGGCTTCCCAGGTTCTGGTTCCACCTTGATGAAG